GCCAGTCTCTAAGGATGGGGAGCCCATTGTGTACACGCTACCACTGGTGGACCATGGGCAGAAGAGGAAGCAAACCTCCACATAAATTGCCTAGAACTGATTGCGGGGTTGTGGCAAACCTAGCCACTTGGACAATATAAAGAGACTGTGCCTTTAAGGATTGCCTGTATGGTTGTGGGGATATGCGTGTGCCTAGGTGTAATGTATGCTGGCTGTATAACCTTGTATTACCTGTATTGGCTATCTGCCGAAAGCAGATAGCTGTATTCCATTTCGTTTCACGAACGGCACCTTTGCGTGCCGTTCGTGAACCGAAATAACCACCCTGTACTAGCCCACACATTTAGAGACGTGTGGCGCTTGTTAACTGATTGCAACAATGTTGCAATTGGTAATTAGAGGCTCTCCTAGGTGGCCGTCGTTCGACTACCGGTCACGTGGCGGTCGGCCATCTTTGATCCTTTGTTTCCCCAGCGGTGTTTGGTCATCGAGCGCCTGGTACTAAAAACGGCTACTCCACAGCGCGAACACCGCTGGACTTCCAGGCCGTTCGGTAGTTCCGGGCCGTTCGGTATTTTATTCCCCATATACCAATCGGTCTTTTGAATGTATGTTTTGGGGAATATGTTTTTCATGCGGCGTTCGGTTGTTTTAGCTGGGATCTGAGCGGTAATCTTACGAATGATGCGCTCAGACCCCAGCTATCTACCGAACGTCCATTCGTGCAAATAGATCTAATACTCGAAAAGTTATACATTTTAATATAAATTGCCGGTTCTGCTGCACGGATGGATAATCCACTTAACGGTACATTCCAGTGGGAGGATCCCTCTCTTGCAGCAGTGCCTGATGGGAGAAATGCTCTGTACTGTAAGTTCCCCACGTAGTCCATCCCTGGAATACTCCTGGGAGAGGACTCAGGAAACCCCTTGCATGGGGAATTGTATAAATTGTGGAGCCTGTGAATAAAGCCTTCAGTTGACTCCCAGAACTGTGTTTCGTCCCGTTACTGGGGGAATTTGGGATATCGCTTTCTTTTCAGCGCTGACTGTGGATTATTGAGTGTACCAGCGGAATTCGTGGATTTAATACTGCCGATCCGCTACAGGGGTCCTTTGTGATTTGCAGTCTAGCCAAAGATGTGTCCAATTGTTGCATACTCATCCACTTAGACAACAAACTCGCGGTTCAAAACATAAACTGCTTGGGTGGAGCCTGGTCTCGAGCCCTCAAGGAAGCGACAAAGGACATATACAGATTCTGACTAATGGCAGATTTGTTCTCCTGACATTGGAGAGATGTCAGCGACTGGACATCTCAGTCTTCGACACTCTGAGGAAACTCAGAGGTTGGGCTTGTTTGCCTCTCAGACCAACAGACAGTAGCAGAGGTACTTTAGCTGGCTGCCAGACCAGGAGTGCGAGGCAGTGGCCACAATTTTCCAGAACTGGACGACTTAGTGGGTTTACACTCTCGCACCTTTATCCAGGCTGGCGAGAGTTCTCCACCGCATCTGGCTCCAAAATATTACTCTACTGATCATCACTCCCCTATGGTCAAGTGAAGCATGGTTTCCAGACCTGCTGGAACTGTCCCAAGATCATCCCCTCCTGCTACCATGCTTCCCTCATCTTCTGACAAACACCCAAGGAGAACTACACCAGCTCATCCTCCAAGAGTGCTTGGAGCTGTTGGCTTGGATGCTTTCAGGGGATCCTGGTCAGTCACTGGCTTATCACAATCAACTAAGGAGCTATTATGGGACTCTTGGGCCACCAGCACCAGATGGAGGTACGCCTCTGCGTGGAACTCTTGGAGTAGCTCGTGTCTGAAGAGGCATCTTGATCCATCTCCTGCACCTGTTACCTTTGTCCAGAATTTTTTATCCCACCTTTTTTTGTTGGGTAGATCATACCATTCCATCAATATGACATCTTCTGCTATTTTTGCCGGCTTACGTTCCTCTGCAGGGCATTCCTGTAGGCCAGAGCCCTCTGGTCTGTCGCCGTTTGACTGAGGGGTATTTGACTGTCTAGACCCCAAGCTCCTAAATATGCACTTATGTACGACGTAAATCTAGTTTTGCTTTTTCTCCGGGAGTGGCCAATACGGAATTGTCTCTCCGCTACCTCTAAGAGAAACTAACGCTTCTATTATGCCTCTTTTCTTTTTGATGGTTTGCTGATGTTATAGCAGCATTGCAGGTTTTCTCTGCGGGTGCTTCACTTACCGACATACTACAGTCTGTGGAATGGACTAGAGAAAGTACATTTTCGTCCAGTTTCTTACACTTCTTTAATTTTTCTTCCACCGCGTTAAAAATGCAAAATATGAAACCTCCTGTCATGTTATAAAATTGTAGATTATGCTAATGCAGTGTACCTATAATCTTAATTGTATTAATGACAGTAGGCAAATATTTTCCCACCCTTATTTTCTCCATATTGTATTCGGATTGTCCATGTGTTTATTTAGGTACTATTATATAATACTGCTTAACTGCAATTGGTATTGCTATATCGCTTAAAAATCTTAATTAGGTGACATGTTTAGCTAGCACGTGTATCTTTACAACTGGACATTTCCAGATATCTTTCACGTCTTTTTGTTTCTTTTCAGTTTGATTTGCCTTCAATGGTCAGTCCGTGGGTTCAATCTCAAATTTTACCGAAGATTCCCATTCCGGATTTTCGTTATTGTTTGTATTATCTGTATATATTTCTTGTTAACTCATATAAAAAAGAGGAGCAGTTCAAGTGGTGAGGGCCTTTTATACCCTCTTACAGTGTGTTTTTTTTATTTGGTTAAAACTTTATTGTGAAAATCTGTGCTGCTGGAGTTCAGTAAAGAGAGTTTAATGCAAAATATTTGCCTCCGGTCATTAATAAAATTAAGATTATCGGTACACTGCGTTAGAATAATCTACAATTAAAGTTCTTGTAAAAAAAGTTCCAACTGCTTAGGAAGTTCAGTGCTGAGGAGGCTTACAGAATTCAGACAGTGGACTCACAGCTGACAGGTAGTGTCTCAGAGTTTGACGCAGCTGAACGCAGCAATAATTGCCAGAAAGATATAATTCCCCTAGCGCTGCCTGGGACGCAGATCACTGGGTACTCCCTGATAATTTTACGCCAAATATCCCCCCTTTCATAGCAAATAGTATGCACTTGTTTATAATTTTAATCCATTAGCTGCTTTTATTTAAAAATAGATTGTGGGTTAATCTGCAATCACGGGCTGCTCAAATGCTCTAAAATGTTTCAAAAACACTAATCGTGCTAAACCTTGTACAAACTAGCAAAAAATATTGCCTCATGATAAGGATCAACATATTCTATATGAGATACCCTGAAACAGTCTATATGGTCAACATTTGTGGGGAAGTTTCAACACGCAACCTGCTAGAATGTTTCAAAGTAGGGCATGAACCTAGCATCAAAATTCAACGTTAGAAAAAATTGAAATGGCTGTGTCTCATATTTGGCCCTCAAACTTCCATATGTACATGGCAAAGGTGCACAGGTGGTTATTTCCGTACTCAGAAGATATAGCTGAGAGACATGTTAGGTGTTATACTGCAGTAGCACACATGAGGATTACAAAGTATGCAAGAAAATTCCAATGAGTATGTCAAAAAGGAAGAAAATGCTTATTCCCACTACACTTGGTACAAACTACCATAAAAATGTCCTCACGATAAGGATCATAATATGTCATTTGAGATACCCTGAGGTGTAAGAAATGGTAGGCCTTTGTGAGGTAGTTTGAACTAGCGAATGCTAGAATGCTTCAAAATGAGACATAGTTCCATTTAATCCATCAATGCAAATTCCCTCTTAATAAGCTGAAACTATCATGTCTCTTATTTAACACTGCAATATCACAAAATAGTGACAAATCCATACATTGGGGGTATTGGTGTATTTAGAAGATATAGCTGAGCATAACTTTGTTTTTTCCTCACAGTGGAACATATCAGATTTGCAAAATACCCAGCAAAAATGCACCGTACATGTAAACAAATGCAAAACAAAAGTTCTACAAACATTAACATAAACTGGTAAAAACAATGTTAACACATTAAGGAACTATATGACATACCCTGGAGTGTCTACTTTTACAAATGGTGTGCCTTAATGTGATAATTTGAACAGTCAAACTGCTACAATGCCCTAAAATGAGACATAGACCCATCATCCATCTATGAAAATTCATACCTAAAAATCTGAATTGGCGTGGCCTCCTATATGTCTACGTAACTTTACAAGATTGTGTCTGCAGCAGACATTGGGGGTATTGTTGTACTCAGAAGATGTTGCTTAGCATAATTTGTTTTTATTTTGTTTGTTTCTTTTATCACAGTGACATACATTAGATTTACAAAATACATTGCATGTGCATGTAAAAAATATTTTGTTCTACAAACTTTGTCATAAACTGGTGAGAAAATAGTGACATGTTAGGGCACAATAAACACTATTTGAGATACCCTGGAGTGTCTACTTTCACAAATAGTAGGCCTGTAAGGGGTGATTTGAACAATGAAACTGCTATGATTCCCCAAAATTAGACATAGGTCCACCAAATCCATTACATTTAAAATTCTAACTGTGAAATGGTGTGGTCTCTTATATGGCACTGTAGCTTCTCAGGGCAGTGTCTTACACTGGTAATATTGTTGTACTCCGGTGTAGCAGAACACAATATTGGGTTTTGTGTAGGAGTAGCACACAACAGTTTTAGGAAATATGCATTTAAAAAACATTCTTATATATGTGTATATTAAAAATCAGAAAACTAACGTTTTACTACAATATTTACCAGATATTGGCAATTAAATGGCTACGTCAATATATCCTTAGGTCAGGGCTTGACAAAGCCTGTATATTATCTGACAGTTCCCGCCAAAGCATGCGGCCAGTCAAAGAAGAATTGAAGATTATACTAGCTTTAGTGTACTAATAATCTTAATTTTAGTAATGACAGGAGGCGAATATTTGCATATCTTTCTTTACTCAAAACTCCAGCAGCATAGTAACATAAACAACCAATCAGAAAAAGATATAATGCCCATAAAAGGCCCTGTCTATGACATCACTTCCTCTTTCTTTGAAGCGAAATGATAAAAAATCGTAAATATATATAACCATAAAGAAACGTCCAACAGATCAACAGTCTAGGAACATGACCAACTTCAGAACTTCCGTGTTGCAGGTGTAGTAAGATAGATTCTTAGTCTTGTATTGAGGCTTTTCATACTGCAAGAAAAAGAAAAAGGTGAAAGGTCTCTGGCATGAAAATTTGTCCGCATGCAGTTCATTTAGGAATCTGATTTCATCATCCCTGTCTGAAGCTCAAAAAATTCCTTCTCTAAGCTAAAGTTTACTGACCCTAAACGACATAGGTATACACTCTGTAACCGGTACAACCATTCTCATACTCATAAAACGTACTGTGAAAGAATCTAAGTCTGAAAGTCTAACCCGGTAAATATGTGTCTTCCTGAACGTAAAACATAAATATCCACACAAATAATCTACGGGAGGGATCCTATAGGGTGGGAAATATTCGCCTCCTGTCATTACTAAAATTAAGATTATTAGTACACTAAAGCTAGTATAATCTTAAATTTTACCACATGACAGGAGGCTTCATATTTGCATTTTTAAAGCTTCGAGTTGACTAACGTGAAGGAAGCATGAGAGGTTTGTCGAAAGTAAAACGTCCTAAAGGTACTCTCTCGCGACCAATCTGCGCTGCGCATAATGTCGGCCAGTGAGGCGCCGGCCGATAAGGCTTGGGAAGCCGCCGCCCCTCTGACCGAGTGCGCTCCGAAGCAAGGTTCAACGCCTGCTAAAGCTAGTAGCCAGCGGATCCATCTGGCCAGTGTAGTAGTGGACACTGGTCCGTGAGGTTTCACAAATGAAATCAGGAGCTGACCCGTCGGACGGGTTCGCAGGGAATTCGTGACCTCGGTATACCTCATCAGTGCTCTCACTACACACAATTTGGGGTCTGATCCAAAATATGGATAAGACACTGACGCTGAGTCTGTTTTCGTGCGTCTCGATATGTTGAAGGTAACCCCTTCTGGTGTGAGGGAGAAACCGTCCACATCGAACGCTCTGATATCTGCTACACGTCTAAAGGAAACTAGGCACAATAAGAGAGCTAGCTTCGCGGAGAGTTGTTTCAGCGACAGATAGAGGTTGTCCGGCCATTCCCTAAGGAATTTCAATACCACCTCCACCTGCCAGAGGCGTGAATATTTGGGCGCTGGGGGCCTCGTTAATTTGGCACCCCGCAGTAGCCGACAAATTAGAGGGTCTTGGCCTATCGGCTTGCCCTGGATCGGGACGTGAGCCGCCGATATGGCGGATCTGATCACATTGAGGGATCTATATGATCGTCCCGACATGAACAGGTGTGATAGGTAATTAAGGATCAGTGGGATAGGTGCTGTAAAGGGATTGGAATCCCTTTCCACACACCAATCGTTCCAGGCCGACCATGCGGAAATATAGCATTTCCTGGTACCAGGAGCCCATGAATCCCAGAGGAGGTCCTTAGCTGATTGCGATAGGCCGTGGACTGACCAGGAGCCCCTGAAACCGTCCAGGCTACTATTTCCAGCTGTCCTTCCAGGATGAGGGGGTGGGTCTCCCCCCTAGGTCCAAACAGGATTTGAGGGAAGGTGGGAAGCAGAAGTGGGGTCTCGTACGACATCTCCAGGAGGTCGGGAAACCACGGTTGGCTCTGCCAAAGGGGTGTAATGAGTAGGAGCGTTATCCTGTGGTTGCGTGCATATCGTAACACCCGTGGAATCATGGAGAACGGTGGGAATGCATATGCCCCTTGGGTGGGCCAGTCCTGTAGGAATGCGTCCGTCGCCTCACTCTCCGGGTCCGGGAGCCAGCTGTAGTACCTCGGTAGTTGGTGGTTGGTCCTGGAGGCGAATAAATCTATTGTGAGTGGGTTCTTCCACCTTTGCAGTTCTTGGAATATCCCTCTGTTGAGCGTCCAGTCGCTGGTGTCCCGCCAGTGACGTGAGAACCAGTCCGCTGTCAGGTTGGAGATTCCCGGTAGATATTCCGCCTGTAGCGTGATGTTCCGTGCAAGCAGAACTTGTAGATGTCTTTCGTGGCTTCTGTCAGGGCTTGAGACCTGGCCCCGCCCAGGCGGTTGATGTACTGCACCGCCGACACGTTGTCCATGCGGAGTAGGATGCAGCAGTTCGATTTGTCCTTGGCCAGACTGCGTATTGCGAAGGATCCCGCGATCAGTTCCAGGCAGTTGATATGGAGTTCGGTCTCTTCCCCCCGCCACGGGCCTCCCGTGGAGGCGTCCGTGCAGTGTGCGCCCCATCCCCATAAGCTGGCGTCTGACTCCACGATGAAGTCTGGGGAGGCGCCGAAGATCGCCTTGCCATTCCACGCTTGAATGTGCAGTAACCACCATCGCAGTTCTGTCCTCACCTCCGACAACAGTGGGATCCAGCTGTCGTATGATTGTCCGGTGCGTAGGTATCCCGCCTTCAGCCGTTGCATGGCTCTGTAGTGCAATGGGCCCGGGAATATCGCCTGTATGGAGGAGGAGAGGAGCCCCACGATCCGGGCGAGCATCCTGAGTGTTATGGTATCCCTTTTCAGTACCTGTCTGATTTCCTTCCGTATCGAGGTTATCTTCGTTTGGGGTAACCGAAGTACGCATTCCTTCGAGTCGATATCGAACCAGAGGAATTGGATTGACTGAGCGGGGGAGAGCCACGATTTTTGTCTGTTCACCATGAAACCTAAGGCTTCCAGTAAGTGAACAACAAATTTCGTCTGTGATCTCAGCCTGGAGGCGGATTCGCAGAAGATTAGCAAATCGTCCAGGTACACGAGACACCGAATGCCCGAATACACTTGTCTGCTCTCTGTGATTTAGTTACTTCTAAATTGCTTTATTGGACGTAACCATTACTACTGATTTCTCATTCCTAATTTATTTTACTTACTATTTGGATTCTAAGGACTGTGATTATTTTCCAAACAGGATCTATTTGATTTATTTCATCATTTACTATTGCAATTTAGGAGACTGTGTAATTTGCCTAAAACAGGAATTACCGGTTTCTCCTATTCCTTATTTTGATGTCAAATGGACTGTTACAATTTCCTAATTAAGGAGTCCATATATACTCGAGTATAAGACAAGTTGTTTGTGCTGAAAAACCGCCACTCGTCTTATACTCGAGTGAGTGTCTGTATTATGGCAACTTACATTGCCATAATACAGACAAGGACCGCCGGGCTCATTATAAGCCCAGCGGTCCTGTTGGGGGCTGACAGAGAGCTGTTACTTACCTTCCTGCATCTCCTGTCAGCTCCCTTTTCCTCCAGTGTAAGTCTCGCGAGAGCCGCGGGGTAAGAGCGTTGCCACGGGTTACCGGGGTAAGAGCGTTGCCACGGGTTACCGTGGCAACGCTCCGCGCGGCAGTCACACTGCAAGACTTACACTGGAGGAGAAGGGAGCTGACCGGAACGGAGGAGAGAGAAGGGAGCTGACAGGAGCTGCAGGAAGGTAACAGCTCTCTGTCAGCCCCCCTCCTACACAGCCAATGCCACCAGGGAATGAGAGCCCCCCTCCCTGGCCAGCTAACAAGCAGGGAGGGGGGACGAAAATAAATAAAAGTAATAATAAAAATGCCCCCCCCACCAAGGTTACACACTCTGCATCATATACACACACACTGCATTCATACATACACACACACACACACACTGCATTCATTATATACACAAAATAAATATTCAATTAATGTAATTTTTGGGGGATCTAATTTTATTTAGAAATTTACCACTAGCTGCTGCATTTCCCACCCTAGTCTTATACTTGAGTCAATAAGTTTTCCCATTTTTTGGGGGTAAAATTAGGGGTCTCGACTTATATTCGGGTAGACTTGTACTCGAGTATATGCGGTACCTTGTTTATTTATTACTGCTAAATGCTATTTTCTTGGAAACAAAGAAAGATTGCCATTGCTTCTACATTATTATTTCCAATTCTTATTGCTGCAGAAAATTGCCAAAGTTAATTTAATTCATTTCAATAAATTTGAGTGACAGTATAAAAAAATTTTCATTCATCTGTGGTTGAGTTCCAAATGAAGTTTTCCTAAAGTATCACACAATTGCGGATGTTTCAAGTCTCCTTATACTTTAACTTTGGCCAACAATTTAAAATTCAGTTTGAATTTACTTTCACGTCTCACTTTAGTCAATAACCCTATCATTTTTGGCAACTTTATTTAGAAAATCTATTGACGTCTTTTCCGGTAATAATGTTTGTTGATAAGGTTCTGGGAGACTCCCGCATTTTGAATGCGGCTCCCTGACACCAGCTAATCATATACAATATCCCGGAAATCACATACACAATCTGACATACAATGTGTGTGACTTCCATTATATTATATATGATCTCGCCCCTCTCCCTTATAATACTCCCTAAACAGTGGCCCAGTTATGTGCTGCATCCCTTTTAAGAGCTGACCAAGCCCCTGAATATCAGCCTCCCTGCTGGGTGCCTCACATGAGGAATGGAGGGTGGAGGCTAGCACACACAGTAGCATTAGGACAGAGAAGAGGTTCCCATCAGCCTCATAAAAATCAAAAGAGAGAGCAAGCGCTTAAAAACAAGAAAAAGGCAGCAACCCTATAAGGGAATCCCTCAAAAACTCTTAGAATAAAAACAGAAATAAGGGTTGCTTCACAAAGGACCAATAAAATATAGGAAAATTTGATGATAAACCAAATATACAGTCTTTAGTTAAATAATCTTTTTAAATAAAGGTCTGTAAAGTGCTTTTTCAGGAACACTGTCCTCAGTAGGCCTTCCTCTAGTGGATCCAAATATGAAACAATAAAACACAAAAGAAAGGACCAGATGGTGTGGTATATCCAATAAAATACAATAAGTAGTAAAAGAAGATGATATTGCACTCACACGTATAAGAGCGATAACTAGCTCTAGTGTAGAAGGCTTACAGCGGTACAATCCCCACTTGTAGGATATAGTGCAGGCTTCTTCCTTTAGAGTATGTTCGTCACTCAAAGAGACTAAAAAGAGACAACTAATAGTGCTCTCTGAATAAAACTAGTGATAAAATATATAAAATGGTACTCACAAGTGTGGAGCAGGCAAACTGCTCCTTGGTGATAGCGTTGGTGGTTTGATCCCCACCTAGGATTGCTTGGAGTCCAGGATAATACAAATGCCAGGTAAAAAGGTATAAAGTGTATTAAAAGATGAGGGCACAATTGAAAGTGACCAAAATATCTTTAATAAATAAATACACAGTATAAAAAATCCATATTGTTTTCATAAGGATGGCAAGGGACTTATCTATTAAGAATAAAAGGCAATTTTCTTAATTTTACTGTTTCAGTTGCTTAGTAGATATGGATTTTTTATACTGTGTATTTATTTATTAAAGATATTTTGGTCACTTTCAATTATTTAACTAAAGACTGTATATTTGGTTTATCATCATATTTTCCTATATTTTATTGGTCCTTTGTGGCACAGCCCTTATTTCTGTTTTTATTCCCATCAGCCTCAGCCAGGACCAGAACTCCAAGCAAGCCAACCTCCTGGACACAAAGGTGAGTTAACAGAAGGGTGGCTGCAAATGTATAAAGTATGACGTGTGTATATGTGCTAGTGTGTTTATCTGAGTGTGTAACTGAATGTATGTGCCGCTGTGTGTATCAGAGTGTGTGAATGCACCAGTGTGTGTATCTGAGTGTGTCAGTGTGTGTATCTGTGTGTCGAGGTGTTTATACATGTTTGATGGCTGTATGTGCATGGGAGTGGGATGACGCGCACGCGTGGGGTGGGGGTGCCGTAGCTGGGGGAGCCACCTCCCTGAAATTAATTTCTGCAATTGCCATAGTCCTGAATGTGTTAAAGAATGTTTGGGCTCACTAACCCCCTCCCTCAGCTCTAGGCTAGGACTCAAACAGGGACTTGCCCAGAACTTTTTTTTTTTTTTAAACATAAGTTATCCCCGATAAACGGACCAGGTAAAATAGTCAAACATTCTCCCTATCAGCTATACTTTAACTTTGGCCAACAATTTAAAATTCAGTTTGAATTTACTTTCATGTCTCACTTTAGTCAATAACCCTATCATTTTTGGCAACTTTATTTCGAAAATCTATTGACGTCTTTTCCGGTAATAATGTTTGTCGATGAGGTCACATGATAATGAAATCACGTGATAATGAGCAGAGTTGGCAACATCTAGATGTAAACACTAGAGAGAAACACACAATCGTTTCATATACTGTATCCTTAATGCTGCCATCCATTCTACTGCACTCAGCAATACTTGTCATGGAATTACTCAGAATGAACTCTCTGTATAGTTTAATAACCGTGCTGGACATAGACATAGAATACCTAGACGCCGCATTCTGTGCTGAGCGGCGAGGAATGAGGCAGCCATTTTGGACCAGTCGCCGCTCTACTGAAGCTATTGAAGAACCCTTAGAAAGTCCATCTCACAAAAGGTAAGTGAAGGACTTGGGACACTTAATACCCCTACCCCTAGTCTTCAATACCCCTACCCCTTAATACCCCTACCCCATGTCACTAATACCCCTACCCCTACAGTGTTAATACCCATACCCCAGCCTATCCCAGCACTCATAGTCATTAATACCCCTACCCCAGCACACACAGTGTTAATACCCCTACCCCAGCACACACAGTGTTAATACCCCTACCCCAGCACACTATGTATTAACACTATGTGTGCTGGGGTAGGGGTAGTAATGACTATATGTGCTGGGGTAGGGGTATTAACACTGTGTGCTGGGGTAGGGGTATTAATGACTATGTGTGCTGGGGTATGGGGTATTAACACTGTGTGTGCTGGGGTATGGGGTATTAATGACTATGAGTGCTGGGATAGGCTGGGGTAGGGGTATTAACACTATGTGTGCTGGGGTAGGGGTATGAACACTGTGTGTGCTGGGGTAGGGGTAGTAATGACTATATGTGCTGGGGTAGGGGTATTAACACTATGTGTGCTGGGGTAGGGGTATTAACACTATGTGTGCTGGGGTAGGGGTATTAACACTGTGTGTGCTGGGGTATTGGGTATTAACACTGTGTGTGCTGGGGTAGGGGTATTAATGACTATGAGTGCTGGGATAGGCTGGGGTAGGGTTATTAACACTATGTGTGCTGGGGTAGGGGTATTAACACTGTGTGCTGGGGTATGGGTATGAACACTGTGTGTGCTGGGGTAGCGGTATTAATGACTATGTGTGCTGGGATAGGCTGGGGTAGGGGTATTAACACTATGTGTGCTGGGGTAGGGGTATTAACAGTGTGTGTGCTGGGGTAGGGGTAGTAATGATGTGCTGGGGTAGGGGTATTAACACTATGTGTGCTGGGGTAGGGGTGCTATGTGTGGGTAGGGGTATTAACACTGTGTGTGCTGGGGTAGGGGTATTAATGACTAACACTGGGGTAGGGGTGTGTGCTGGGGTAGGGGTATTAACACTGTGTGTGCTGGGGTAGGGGTATTAATGACTATGTGTGCTGGGATAGGGGTATTAACACTGTAGGGGTAGGGTTATTAAGGGGTAGGACTAGGGGTATTGAAGACTAGGGGTAGGGGTATTGAAGACTAGGGGTATTAAGGGGTAGGGGTATTGAAGACTAGGGGTAGGGGTATTAACACTATAGGGGTAGGGGTATTAAAGGACCACTATAGTGCCAGGAAAACATACTTGTTTTCCTGGCACTATAGTGCCCTGAGGGTGCCCCCACCCTCAGGGTCCCCCTCCCGCCGGGCTCTAGGGGGTTGAAGAGGTTAAACTTACCTCTTTCTCCAGCGCCGGGCGGGGAGCTCTCCTCCCCCTCTCCGCCTCTTCGGCTGAATGCGCATGCGCGGCAGGAGCTGCGCGCGCATTCAGCCAGTCGCATTCATAATGCTTTCCTATGGACGCTGGTGTCTTCTCACTGTGATTTTCACAGTGAGAAGCGCGGAAGCGCCTCTAGCGGCTGTCAATGAGACAGCCACTACAGGCTGGATTAACCCTATTATAAACATAACAGTTTCTCTGAAACTGCTATGTTTATAGAAAAACAAAAAAAAGGGTTAATTCTAGATGGACCAGGCACCCAGACCACTTCATTGAGCTGAAGTGGTCTGGGTGCCTATAGTGGTCCTTTAATGACATGGGGTAGGGGTATTAAGTGCCCCAAGTCCTTCACTTACCTTTTGTGAGATGGGCTTTCTAAGGGTTCTTCAATAGCGTCAGTAGAGCGGCTACCGGTCCAAGATGGCTGCCGCATTCCTCGCCGCTCAGCACAGAATGCGGCGTCTAGGTATTCTATGTCTATGGTTCGGGATCCCCCTGCCATACAAAATAGAACACCTGAAATACTGAGCTTCTACAACATGGATCCTGTTGGCGACATACACAGTTCACTCTCGGTTGATTACAGCTCTGATGACGTTCGTATTGTCAGGCGCCGCCCGTGATTGGCTACTTCGGCTGGGGGGGGCGGGGCAGGACTTGGCTTTATAAACACATCCACTTCCGGCTGCGGCTCAGATTCCTTTCCGTCGCCAAGTTGTGAAGTGTCCGAGTTGAGGACCGTTTTGGCCATGGTGACGCAGGAGCCCCCGCGGTGCTGCGGCTATTTCAGTGTCCGCTCGGTGGTGCTGGGAGTGGCCATTTACTATGTGTTCGTCAGCCTGAAGTCGCTGGTGCTGCAGACCGTGGCCGTGGTGAAATGCGGCGGAGTGTGTCCGGGCCCCTGGGGCTCCCCGGGGCCCATCGCCGTCATGTACTCCCTGGGCCTGGTGCTGCTCTTCCTCAGCCTGTCCCTGCTGTTCGGGGTGCTCCGCCGCCGGCCCGGCCTCCTCCTGCCATTCCTGGCCTTCCAGATCATCGAGCTGCTCTGCTCCCTCATGCTGATCTGCGGCCTGTTCGTGCGCTTCCCGTCCGAGCTGCGCATGGTCAACTACCTGGCCGGCATGGAGGAGCAGGACAAGAACATGGAGGCCGGGGCCTCGGTGCTCTTCGTGGTGCTGGCCCTGCTCTTCGTGCTGCTCAAGGTCTACCTGATCCGCTGCGTGCTCACCTACTACCGCTTCCTGCTCACCCGGGCCCTGCTGCCGCAGAACGACCAGGGAGACCTGGCCCTCATCGTGGTCCCCGGCCCCGAGAAGAACCCGCTCCTCCTGCCTTCCTATGAAGAGGCCATCAGCATGCCGGCCAAGGACAGCCCTCCCCCTCCATACAGCCAGCTGGCTAGTGCAGAGCCCGGCAAGGAGTCCGCATGAAGGAGCACCGCCTGGGTGACAAGCCGTGCACAGTGTCACATGTACCCCCATATAGCATGTTATGGGCACAGCCCTGGGATACTAGGACTCCATGGGGGGCTGGAGCCACACCACTGACTATAAATGCCATCCTTAACTTGGTTTGGGACATGGCATTCCATCCTGGAACCTTACTTGGGGTTTTGTCTTCTTCTCTGTCAACTTCTTCTTACGTGTTCTATTTCCCATTAAATTCCATGTTCCTGACAGAATACTATCTTTATGGGGTGTAGCACTGACTTTGTGGTTTAGTGGCACATTTTACCCAAGTAGACAAAGTGAGTCTAATCCGTTGTACACCTTTTTGCATAGCTATATATCCTGGATCAGCATCTGTGCTTTGGTGGATAAAAAATGTGAAGCGTAGAAATGACTGACGCTTGTTAATGAACCTGGAAGATGGTTGTTTTCATTCTCTTCCCATAACTGTTAGTCATAAGAAGTAATGGGTAGTCATAAGAAGTAATGGGTGCAATCACGTGAATGCCACAGTTGCTCAACCGACTAACTGTAGCGAATTAAGACTTGGTATAGTAGTGTGAGCCTAAAATCTATTTTGTTGTGATACTTAGAATATATAGACAGACCATAAGAAATACTTGTATAGACTATTGTTCAATAGTGCCAATACATACGTTTGTATCCCATCCCGATATGAACTGCCGGTAGTTGTGCTCCAAAAAAGAATGCTGTGCTACTTACCGGTATGTAGCCTTATTAGAAATAATTTGGGGAATGATTTATCTTACGATCATCCAGTTGTGTCCTATGATTTATCAGCATTTGTATGACTGTGCTATGTTAAGTCTGTGTAGCAGCAGTCCAAGTGTGCTGTATTTTATAAACTATATTTACATGCTTTTTGCTAGTAATGCCCACATGCTGCTTGCAAAGTTTCTTAATCTCTGCTTGAAGTTGGACAATACTAGAACTGGTATTTTAAATGGTTCAGTGTTTTCCAGCATGACATCTGTTCTAAAGATCATTTTGGATTAAAACCTTCAATTGACATGTTTTACATTGGATAATGAGCTTTTACTGTAAGGACATAGTCTACACGTTTTTAATACTGCTGAATTGTCTAGCTTAAATTTGACATTTCTAGCTCTTCAATAACTTGGTCGACATTACTCCTTAAAATCAGTGTTAATGACATATAAACTATAATTTTCCATTACTCTTCTTGGTATGTAAACTGCTTTACACCAAAGAAATTCTTTCCTATAACTATAGTACTGAATTTAAGCTTTCTATTCATTTAGATATATCTTGTTTGACTCATCAAGAAAGGGAATCAATGTACTAAATAAACACTGCTTCTTCTAGAGCTCTGTATTGATTTTAGTTATGACTATTTGTATGTCTAATGTAGTCCTGCTTAGAACATTTATTTACCTTTTCAATGTGTTAATGGTGATTTTTCCTACTTACCGGTGGATTCTGAAGCTGTGTAGCACTAATAATCCAATGTAAGGTGGCAGATACAAATGGCTTTCCTTTATGTAGTTAAATGGGGCCGATCATTTTGCCCAATGTTATTTTAAAAAACATTCCAAGCATTAAATTTACTAGATTGTGTTGTAGTGGTTATGGTGCCACCCCACTGTAAATGGCAAAACCATTTAAAAACTTTTTAAAATTATTTATTGGAATTTTATTTCTTACATGGGAACTACCATGCTCAATTACCCTACCTCAGCCTGAAGCTAATCACACTCAGCCAGGTCACTCTAGTTTTAACCATGCAGCTGAAAACATAGCCGTTTCAGAGAAACGGCTATGTTTTACTGACGGTTAATCCACATCTAGTGGCTGTCTCACTGACCGCTGCTAGAGGCACTTCCGTGATTCTCTGAAAATCAGTGAGAAGATGCTGGGCGTCCATAGGAAGGCATTGAGGAATGCTTTCCTATGGGCGGTTTGAATGCGGGTGCAGCTCTTAACGCACATTTGGATCTGACATCGACAGGAGGAGGAGAGGTCACTAGCGCAGAGGGAGCCCGGCGCAGAAGGATGGGAAGTGGCTGGTGGGGTGGGACCTATAATGACCCTATTGTGCCAGGAAAACAAGTGTTTTCCTGGCACTATGGTGGTCATTTAAATGAGCCGAAGTGATCTGGGTGCCTATTGTGTTCCTTTAAAGGGACGCTAGAAGAATCCAGACCACGTTATCTCCAAGAAGTCTTGTGGCCAGGTCCTTGTAGTTTTAGCCTTGCAACTGAAAACATTGTTCTGCAGCAATGTTAGAGGGACCCTGTAGTGTAACTGTAGTCACCATAACCATTTCATCTCTTTGAATTAGTTATGGTGCCTGGAGTTCCCAGACACTGGCTTTCCATTCAGTATTAAAGGACCACTATAGTGCCAGGAAAACATACTCCTTTTCCTGGCACTATAGTACCCTCAGGCTCCCCCTCCCGCTGGGTTCTGGGGAGAGGAAGGGGTTAAAATCTTACCTACCTTCCAGCGCCAAGACGGGGAGCTTTCCTCGTCCTCTCCTTCTTCCTAGCGACGTCATCGGCTGAATGCGCATGTGCATTTCCTATGGACGCTGATTTTCACAGTGAGAAGCACGCAAGCGCCTCTAGCGGCTGTCAATGAGACAGCCACTAGAGGCTGGATTAACCCTCAGTGTAAACATACACATACACTAAAACTGCGATGTTTATTAAAAAAAAAAAAGGGGGGGGGTTAATCCTAGCTGGACCAGGCAACCAGACCACTTCATTAAGCTGAAGTGGTCTGGGTGCCTATAGTGGTCCTTTAAACAATTTTTGAGCAGTTTAACACTACAAAGGGTCCCTGGCCTCTTTTGGAGGTGTGGCTAAAGCAGAGATTGCACACTTCCTTGTAGTCATACCCTTCATACAGTCAGTTAGAACTCTGATAAGCTAAAAACAGCTGACCCTCTCAACCAATCACAGGTGCCCATTGCTGCTCAGGCTAATACTTCCTCATAATTCAACACAGCACAGAGTGGAGGGCCTGGGGAGCTCTCAATAAGCATTAAAAAGTGTTGAATTACTGATGAATTAAATTATGGCACTCTGAGAATCCAGACACAAACCAGTTTACTGAGATGCAAGTCAGGGTAATTTACAAGACTGAATATGTGAAAAATAAATCCAAATGGCAAAAAAAAGTAATTGTAGCAGAGTTGGCAAATTATATCACATTAGTTATTTTTGTCTTTATTTTCCTTTTCAGATTTACTCTCTGGAAATTGAGTTGAAATCTTTTAGTTTGGAAAAACAGTGCTTGAGAGGGGATATGATAACATTATACAAATATATTCGGGGCCAGTACAAACCATTATCTGGAAATCTATTCATAAACAGGGCTATACATAGGATACGAGGTCATGCATTTAGGCTGGAAGAAAGGAGATTTCATCTAAGGCAAAGGAAAGGTTTTTTTAGTTTTTTTTTACAGTAAGAGTAATAACGATATGGAATTCTATGCCTGAAGAGGTGGTTTTATCAGAGTCCATACAGATGTTTAAACTGCAATTGGATAAATACTTGCAAAAACATAACATACAGGGATATAATTTCTAATTAGTGGGATAATAGCTTGATCCAAGGATATATCTGACTGCTATTTTGGGGTCAAAATGGAATTTGTTCCTAGTTTGTTGCAAAATTGGAAGCGCTTCAGACTGGGTTTTTTGGATCAACACCAAAAACATATGTGAGGAAGGCTGAATTTGATGGACACAAGTCTGTTTTTTCCTTTTTAGATTCCACACCCCTGAGATGATCTCATAGAGACCATCTTATTGGCACAGTGTGACATTTGCTGCGCTGTAGCCTCAAATGCTTTAGGAAAACATTGGATTGGCTGAGATAAATAGCCTTGATGATCTTGGCCAAGGAGGCAGGACTGACTGCAGAGAAAGCATTAAGGCCTGTGATGAAAGGTAAGTTACCCTTTTTCATCCATGGGGAGGTGGGTGGGGCAGGGCAGTAAACAAAGGCTGCTACCGGACACTATACTGTTAGGAATACAAATGTTGTATTCTTTTTAATTGGGCTGAAGATGTTTCATACCCTGCATGTTTTAGCATGCAAACTGGTTTTTAAAAGTGGATAGCTTTTTTTTGTTTTTTACCCCTGTAGGTATAGCTGGGAATTACACACCTTCACAATAAGGGATGCTTTACACTTTTCAATTGCACATCTAAGACTGCAAGGGGTGCCCAAAAGGTAGATCTCCACATAGTGTAGAACTTCAAATTCCTTGATGCTTTGTCATTCTAAAGGAATGCAATCCATAATGGGATTTGTAGTCCCACAATATCTAGGAATCTACTGTAATGAAGCGCCTGTACCCAGAGTGGTACCTCCGCTGTAGATTCTCCCATGTCCCGTAGTGAAACAGTGATTATCACTTATGCATACCCAAACATTAGTCAAGCCTTGAATGGTACAGGAACTGGTTTTATTAGGCCAGAGCGCACACACATTTATACACAGAACCCCAGCATGGGGTATCTTTCCAGAACGTACTGAGGCCGCCTGGCGAAAAGGCACTTTAATCCCTGCCGAATTGTCTAAATGCCACACAGTCAAAAAAAAGTTTTTCCAGACTGCTACAACAACCTTTGCTGAAAAGAGTTCCATGCAGTCACGGTCAATCCTCACTAATTTACCGGGTGCAATATCTCCCTGGTGACTTCAGAGAGCGATTGTTTAGTTATGGAGATAGAAGCTTCCCTCCAAAAAGTGCTCCTCTAGCTCGCTGGGAAAGGGGTGAAATGGAAGGTGAAAGATGACCTTGAAATCCTGAAACAAGTGGCTGGACCGGAGTTCCAGAGCGGGTTTAGGTTGGTCCTGCTAATAGCGTCTGGACACTTCGACTCTCAGTAAGGTGAGGAAGCTATCTAGAGGCGTAGGATCTTAGTGGAATATAGTCCTTTATGACTGAGTTTGTCACATCTACCTTTTGGGAACTCCTGATCTAGACCATATTCTGATTGCAAACAGTTGTCCCTTGGAATTGTCAAAATAAAGCATAGTTATAAAAGAAAACTGTCAGAGCCATAGAGGAACTCATTATGACCACACCCAACTCCTTGAATAGGTACACGGACATATGGACCCACTGGATACTGACTACTACCAAGGCAGAATTCACAACCGGGCTCCAATACGGCACATAAGGACACAGTGACGAAGCCGCATAGACCGACAAATACAGAGACGACCTCGACAGACGTGACCCAGACGCGGACGCACCCTGACCCCCCACCTCCCCAGACGCCACTACCCGGACATCCCCCCCAACCCCAAATTCTGAGTGCGAACAGACAGGCACTTGGCATACGCCACTGACAACATAAGAGAAGATTTATAAGGCCTCCGGGAAGACGCTCACTCCTCCATGAGGGGACAACAGAACGTATGACACCCACGTGCACGTTCTCCAGATCAGGCCACGGGACTTAACGCTGGGCTCAGAGGGGCCAGCGGACCCACCCTGACACCTTAGCGTTTACGAGAGGTAATACCTGACCGCCTTACTGCAACGAGACTCACGGGCCCGACACCCGACTATAACACCCGCTACATGGTGACCGGCACATCACCAGTGCTGGTTTTGCAGACCGTCATTCCTTTCCAAAGGCTGCTCATGTCCCACCCTACGTGGACCTGCGAGTCCACACTAAAGTTCGCATAATGTGACGTGACTTAAACTGGGCAACTGAATGCAAACCTCACATCAGCTTAGGGACAGGAACAGCATGCTGTAAGGGACCTGCGAGTCCACCGCAATTGTGGGCCTGCGCGCCCGGTTGGCCGATATAACAAAAGCTATGCACATGTACTTTGGTTATTGTGCCCTAAAGGCTTACGGAGACCTGCGAGTCTCAGTGTGACTAATTCTCGACAATATAAACCGAAATAAAAACATTTACCAAAAAAAAAGAAAACTGAAGTACTCTGTGCAATATGAGTACTTAAAGGGACAGTATAGTCATCAAAACAACTCTAGCTCAATAAGACAGTTTTGGTATATAGATCATGCCTCCGAAGTTTCACTGTTCAATTCCCTGCCATTTAGAAGTTAAATCACTTTGTTTATGCAACTCAAGTCCCACCTCCCTGCATGTGACTTACACCGCCTTTCTAAACACTTCCTGTAAAGAGTCATCTAATGTTTACACTTTATGCAAATTCTGTTTAATTTAGATTTTTTTTTTTTTTTTTTTTAAATCTCCTGATCTGTTAATAGCTTGCTAGACCCTGCAGGAGCCTCCTGTATGTAATCTAAGGTCAGGCGATAAAAACTTTTTTATGCAGGCTGTGTAAGTCACAACCAAGGGAGGTGTGGCTAAGGCTGTATGAACAGAAACAGTGGTTTTACTCCTAAATGGTAGAGAATTGAGCAGTGAGACTGCAGGTGCATGATCTGCACACACAAACTACTTCTTTAAGATAAAGTTGTTTTGGTGACTATAGTCCCCTTAAAGACATGTTTATGAAATAAGGTAATCTAAAACAGCTGAAACGCATAAACATAGGTAAAAATTAGTGAACTAGTGGCTATAACTACCACCAGTGCAAACAGTGGAGCTTTAAAAAGATAACATTTACACTTATGTAATAAGGGATAGATGTACAGCAGAGACTAAACTAAAGAAAGAAAATACAATATGCTGCAATGTAGGCTGTAAGTAAGTATGGATGTAAAATATAAAGCTACACACTCACATGTATAGAGCCAGGTAGGACAAGCTCAAGTCATGTAGGCAGATTTGTCCTCGGATGTGACACAGACCTTCGTCTATCTTTCTCCAAAAGGACTCAGGAAAGGGGAGACAAAAAATAGCCAGGAATGGTATCTCTAAGTGAAGTATGTTAAAGGGACTCTAGTGCCAGGAAAACAAACCCCTTCAGCTACTTACCTGAATCCAGTGCCAATGGCCCTCGGCGCTGGGTCAGGCTCCACCCACACTCCTCCCCCGCCAACATCAGCTGGTGGGGAGGACCTCATGCGTGGCTATAGCCGCGCGCACATTAGACCTCCCAATGGGAACGCATTCAATGCTTTCCTATGGGGAAAATGTGACGCAGGAGGTCCGTGAGGACGTCCAGTGTCAGATAACCGACCAATGTTCAGTTAGGATTCCGGAAGCCCTCTAGTGGCTCTCATAGACAGCCACAGCGGGCAGACTTAGAACTGCAATGTTTTACATTGCAGCACAAAGTGCAATTGGGGCACGTCACCCAATACCACTTCAATTAGCTGAAGTGGTCTGGGTGCCTGGAGAATACATTAGCTTACTGGGAACCCTTTCCTCTATGATAGATCTTGTCAGATGGGCCCACTGGAATCTCAGACCAGTCCAGAAAAACTTCTTGAGGCAATTCATTCATGAGGAACAGAACTGGAATAAGTCCTATTCATTGCACAAGAAGTAGGATTTCACTCTACTGTGGTGGATAAAAGACTTCAATATCAGGAGAGGCTTTCCAGATTGGGAAATAGAAATATCGGATGTAAGTGGGAAAGGCTGGGGGTGGGGGGGGGACAGGCAGAGTTAAAAAAATTATCGAGCACAAACTGGAATCTCAAATCAAACTTATTGGAACTTCGGTCAGTGCAAAAAGCGTTGACCTCATCAAACATTTATTGAGGAACAAATGGGTTAAAGTCCGGGTGGATATTGTGACCGCTGTGGTAGACATATACCATCAAGGGGGTCAAAGAGTCATAGGCTGATGCAAGAAACAAAACCAATGATTGTTTAGATTTGAATCTAAAAGCACTGTCAACTATTCACCTGCCAGGCAAAGACAACAAGGTTGCAGATTTTCTGAGCTGGATATATAGATAGATAAAGAGAGTGGAAATTGAACCTGGATATTTTTTGGAAGATTTGCCAGTAACGGCTCACTCCAGAAATAGACCTGATGGCATCTTTCTCCAACACGCAACTTAAAAATGTATATTAAATTATATACGACCCAAGGGCTTGAGGTCCAGATGCTCTATCCCACAAGTGGGGATTTTATCTGGGTTATGACTTTCCCAAGAGTCCTCAAGAAAATCTGTTTAAAAAAAAAAGAGGAAGTTATTGCCATTCTGCCATTTTGGCCCAGGTGACTGTGGTTTCCACTCAGATTGTCACAGATAAATCCGTGGGAACTACCTGGCAGAATCTGTTACAAAGCCCTGTCCATCAGGAAAATGCATCTCAATTCATGGAGGTTAACAGACAAAGGTGTACATACTATGCTCAAGTCCAAAAAGTCATCTACATTTCAAGTATATTATAAAGTCTGGAAGGCATACTGTGAATAAGCAACATCATGGAGGAAGGAAACATATTCAATTGAATCAGATCTGCTGGAGTTTCTCCAGAAGGGGTTAGACAAGGGACTGAACTTCTGTACTCTAAAGGTTCAATTGGCTGGCCTTTTTAGCCATTACTAATGTCCAATGGGCCTCAGACCCTTTGATAAAACATTTTATGAGTGATGTGCTTCGAATTAGGCCTCCTATTACAAATTTTGTGCAGGCTTGGGCTCTTCCAAAGGTTCTTCACAGTCTCAGTTGCTCCTTTTGAGCTAATTGAATCCTCCTTTACAAGGGCTCTAACCAGTGCCCCACCTACTCTATCACAAAGATAGCCAAAAGGTAGATTCTTACTTGTCATACAACTCATGCCGTACAATAGATTCGAAAAGCTATCAGACTCTTTTCCATTTGCCATAACTATTTTAGTTGACAGTTTGGTCATCTAGAACAAATGAGTTTGACCGCTGCCTTAGTGACTCTTTTCTGTGATTCCAAGCATTTGGGATTGAGGCCTTTCTGGACAGTTTTGCTATGAGAGTGCTTGTTTCACTCTACTTTAATGTTTTCTCTCAAAATTCACCTATGCAGACTATAGAATGTTATTTTTTAAGGACCGATAGGGATTTCTTCTGATCCATTGTATGTATACATAACCACATTAAGAATGAATAACATATTTAAAATAAAAATGGAAGAGGTAAAAAAAACAGCTTGAGAATTTTAATATTGAACATTTTGAGTGTTTTTAACTTGGCCATTTCATCTCAAACATCTGCCAGTTTGAGTGGTAAATATATTTTGTTTCAGATACATATTAAACTTTACAGGAATACCGAAACAACTTTAGCTAAATTAAGTGGTTTTGTTATACAGATCATCACCTGCAGTCTCACTGCATAATTATCTGCCATTTAGGAGTTAAATCACTTTGAAGGACCACTACATACTGAAAAAGCATTCTAGCTTGCCCTTTTTCTATGTTTTGATGTGCTTTTTCCCCTTTCTGTAATTTTGACCGTAAAATCCTGCAAAAATACCATGCACTGGACCACCCCGATACCCCATTTAGAACGTTTAGTTAGAATGCGCACACCTCGCTAACGAGGTGTGAAAACTACAGACCGCAAGTGTCAACCATGCAGGGTTGCTCCAGCGCACGGAAAATAACTCTCGATAAATCAAAAGTTAATTAGAAAGTCTAGTCAGGCGATATTGTTTGATACATTACAAAATGCAGAATAACTAATTATTTGTATGTGTTTTGCAGACTTTCCCAACAATTCGATACGGTTCATCTATTTCTTATAACTACGGAGTGGCTGAGAATCTGACAGCCGTCCAAAATGCAATCTCCCTTTTTTTTTTTTTGGGTTTGTTGGATATGCAGTTACAGATCAGGGCCTTAACAGATACATCACTAGGTTGATACTGAATATCAGTCCTTGCTGAAACATACCAGAAAAAGGTTGCAACTATTTAATTTAAAAAGATCATAGCATAAGAATGCCCAGAAGCATTAAACTAACTATGCTAGTGTGAGAGAGGAGATAGGTGACATGAAAAAAAAAAATAAACGTATGTTGAAGCCACATACTGTAGAACTAAGCTATAGTGTGAACTGGATTTTTAGTAAGGTGGTGTGGTTGCATAAAAATAATTAGCTGTTCTCAACACAGCCATAGCCAATGCCCCCTAACAGAAAATGAATAAGACTTGGTAATCATAACTTGGACCTACCTCACCTTTAACCAATGCCAGTGTAGCGGAGAGGTAGTATAATCCACGGTATCTCCGCTGGGTAACAGGAACAGCATAAAATAATCCAGGAAAATAAGCACAGCATACAATAATCTCGGTAGCGTTGTATAAATCCTTCCTTCCCAAGAACTAGACGACATATAGGCTGGGAGTCAACTGAGCTTTTAATCACAGGTCACAGTATTTATGGGATTGCCCGTGCAAGGGGTTTCCCTACTGACATTACAGGGGTTGTACAGTAGGGGACTACATGGGGAACTTAACAACCTGGACATTTCTCCCATCATGCACTGCTGTACGAGAGGGATACTCCCACTAGAATATCCAGTTAAGTGGATTATCCCTCCGTGCAGCAGAACTGACATTTCACCTGAAAATGTATAACTTTTACATTATTCACTCTATTTAAACGAATGGACGTTCGGTACATAGCTGGAGTCTGAGCGCACAGTTCGTGAAAGTACCGCTCAGATTCCAGCACAACTAACCGAACGCCGCACGAAACACACATTATTTTCCAGTTACATTCAAAGTACCGATTGACAGTAGAGGAACAAACCACCGAATGACCGGGGCTCCCGAACGGCCTGGAAGTCCAGCAGTATTCATGCCGTCGAGTAACCGATTTTAGTTCCAGGCGCTCAACGCCCAAATACCGCTGGGTTAACAAAGGATCCAAGATGGCCGACCGACGCGTGGTTGGTAGCCGAACGGCGGCCACCCTGAATCTCTATAATAACCGATAGAAACACTGTTGCAATATTTAATGGGAGCCACACTACCTTCTGTGTGTGGTCTCCCATTCGGTAGTTTGTTCGTTTCACAAACAGTGTTGAAATTCACTGTTCGTGAAACTACTGTATGAATGCTGGGTGCTTTATGCCGCCAGCATACGAATGCTCTTGTTCGGCCGAAATACAGCAATAGGTATACGCTTGGTTCTACATGCTTAAAGCAACAGCAATACATTAATACCAATACAGTTCCAAGTGGCTAGTTTTGCCACAGCCAGTTTATGGGAGTTTCTTTGATATACAATGCTTTATCCGGGGTATCGTCACAGTTTCTATGGAGTGGTGTAATCAACATCTGCGTATGGACAATAGGTGCTTCCACCAAACGTTAGCAAGGCCGGTGTAAGGATTTATGGCTACACAGGCGAAGATGAATTTTGTTGTCCCCCCAACACACAGAAACATGCATGAACTCTGAATATCCATGTTGAATTTTTTTACCTCATTTTTTGTTTGGGGCTAGTAATTCCCATAGGCTCTTTGTGTGTCTCTTACTTCGCCCAGCCCCTTTGTGTCTTTCTCCCCTTCCCCAGTATTGTTTGTGTCTCTTCCTCCCTTTCCCTTTGCATCTTTGTCACTTTCCCTGCCCTCTGTGAGTCTCTTTATCCCCTAGCACTTTTTAAGTGTTTCTCCCACTAATTCCTTGTCTTATCTTACCCATTCTCCATTCCTGTGTCTGCTCACCTCCCTCCTTATAGCATTGCTGCTTTAGAGAATCTGTCATATTGCGGTCTAAGTCCCTGAATGATTGTGCCGGGGATTGCAATGGGTCTATTACACGGATATTGAAAGCTGTCATCTGCAACGTAGAGTTTGGAAACCTTTACCTTTGTAGGCACAAAAGAGTGAGATAGGTCTTCATTGTTGACCATTAGTAGGCTCTGCTGGTTCGCTTCTGCCAGAATGCATTCAGAAGACAGTCCAGAGTGTCAGTCCCAGTTAGATCACTATCACTACTACAGTGTAAAGCGAGTGGAGAATGTTGACGACAGCGGTCCATCATTTTTGTCAATTCTCGCTGGTGAAAAGCCAGCCAATCAAAGCACTCTTACAGGCAATTCTTATGTCTCTTAATTTAACGTTTTGGTGCAAAGAGCCTGTCCCTTTTCTGTAAAAAGGCAATATTTACATAAAATGTTTATATTTGTCACTAACAGGGTCAGATCAAGAACCTATTCTCGGGAGAGGCACTAGAAGATTTAACTGCAATGTGGAGTAATATATATATATATATATATATATATATATATATATATATATATTTCTATGTTTGTTTATGTGCCACAAGTTAACATTACAATTGTTTTCCTATACCTTCATAAGCTTTTACAATAAATCTGATAGGGATTGAATGTTAATCCCTTTCATTTAAAATAATGGTGTTATGTTTCTTAAAAAGCAAACAAAAAAATGTAGAATTTGTCATTTGTAACAGAGATTGGATATCTTTGCACAGTATATCTTGTCTGTACTTAATCACTTTGTTTAAAAAAAAAAAAAGAGCTTGGCAAAAATATACATATTTGCATTGTTTGAGACGTTGCGATGAGTAAGGTATGTCACAATTGCACACGGACAGTGCAGAGGAAGGAAAAAGACAAAAATATTTTTTTTCTTTGACAGGCAGAATTCGTCTTCCTTCTCTAAAACGGTTGTCCTTAAAGTTTACTTGTGCTTGAAAAAAGGAAGTCAGGCTTTAACCTCTTAAGCATGGTGGCACAATAAATTCTGATCAAAACAAATACCTGGAATTTGCACTATATATTTGTTCAACCATGATTCTTTAATATTACGTGCACCCACACTTAGTTTATATCATTATGTTCAGGAGAAATAGGGCTTTCATTTCACATCAAAGATTTATAAATAGAACATAATTTAAATTAAATACAATCTAAAAATTTTTATTTTCTTAGTTCTGCATGGTATTTTAACTGTTGACGTCATAATACTGTTAACTTTAATGCAATAAAAAACACATATTTGTGTTCAGCGATGTCTCACAAGTGTACAGCATTACCTTCCGTGTACAGGTTTTATGGAGTGTTGGAAAATTACAGGGTCACATATAGGGCTTTGCCTTTCTCCGTTTATACACATTGAAAATTGCATGATTGGTCTGCTGGGCATATGGCGCCTTTGAGACTGTATTGCAGTCCAAGAATGAAAATGAACCCCATCATGGCATACCATTTGCAAAAGTAGACAACCCATGTGGTATGTCCAGTCTTTTTTAGTAGCAATTTAGTCACAAATGCTGGCCAATGTTAGTGTTCCTATTTGTTTTTTGTATTTTTCACAAATAAACATCAGCGCTAAACATTTTTTTTTTTGAAACACTCATATTTGTGTTTAGCAGAGTTCAATAGTACCTCTTATGTACAGGTTTTATGGTATTTAAAAAGTTACAGGATCAAATACCGACAGGGGCATACCTAGAGCATTTGGAACCCGGGCGGATCCAGTGTTTAGCACCCCACACTTTAAAACGTAAAAAACACCCACTATGTTTTAAAAATGTTTTCATTTTTAAAAATTGCACAGATTAGTAAATTTTGAAAAAACACGGTCCTGCCCCCTTCTTGCCCACTGTTCTACAAAATCCCTGCACCCCCTTCCACAAATCTCCTACTCAGCCCGTCTTATACAAATTCCCTGTCCCCCTTCTACAAACCAAGATTAGCAACAGTCTTCAGAGTCCAGCCCCAGGCACATAGTCACACACACAGTTACAGGAAGACAGGCACACAAACAGTTACAGACAATCACACATACAATTATAGGCAGGCAGTCTCACACAGTCACAAGCAGTCACACACACACACAGTTACAGATAGACAGTCACACATCCACACAGTCAGGGACGGACTGACAGCCTTCTGGGCCCTCGGGCAAAATTAGATCCTGGACCCTTTGAAAACCAAAAACTATATTAAGTATTAAAGGGACACTATAATCACCTGAACAACTACAGATTAATGTAGTTGTTCTGATGCCCATAGCTAGTTCATGCAGGCTTTTTAACGTAAACACTGGCTTTCAGAAAAGGAAGTGTTTACATTGCTGCATAGGAACACCTTTAGTGGTAGTCATTCAGACAGCCACTAGAGTTGCTTGATAGGTCAGTGCTGCTGATGTTTAGTATCTCCACACTCTGGATGGAGACACAGGATGCTAAGGATTGATTCATTGCATCTCAATGCAGAGGTGATAATTGGTGTAGTGTGGCATTTTGCTGCACATGTTTTTCTATGAAAAAGAATTTGTGTAGTGCCAAAGAGTATAAAATGCAGACGTCCATGTAGCGTAAATGGGTAAATGCATTGTTCCATGAGTCAGTAGAGCAGATGTTTCTAAAAGCGGGAGTGTATTTGTATGGAATGTTGATGTGTGAATGTAAGGGTGTATTTATGTTGAATGTGAATACAGGGGTGTAATTTGTGGAGGACTTGTGTGTTGCTGTATGAATGCCAGTGTCTATTAGTATGAAATGTCTGTGTAAGAATGTAAAGATAGATTTGTATGGATTGTTTGTGTGTGAATGCAGTATGTTTGCACAGTATATATGTGAATGAGGGGTGTTTGTAACATTTGTGTAAGAGTGCATGTGTATGTGTGAATGAGAGGTGTATTTGAACCTGTGTCAGTGTATGTGTGAATGAGAGGTGTATTTGACACCTGTGTCAGTGTATGTGTGAATGAGAGGTGTATTTGAAACCTGTGTCAGTGTATGTGTGAATGAGAGGTGTATTTAAACCTGTGTATGTGTGAATGAGAGGTGTATTTGACACCTGTGTCAGTGTATGTGTAAATGAGAGGTGTATTTGACACCTGTGTCAGTGTATGTGTGAATGAGAGGTGTATTTGACACCTGTGTCAGTGTATGTGTGAATGAGAGGTGTATTTGACACCTGTGTCAGTGTATGTGTGAATGAGAGGTGTATTTGAAACCTGTGTCAGTGTATGTGTGAATGAGAGGTGTATTTAAACCTGTGTATGTGTGAATGAGAGGTGTATTTGACACCTGTGTCAGTGTATGTGTGAATGAGAGGTGTATTTGACACCTGTGTCAGTGTATGTGTGAATGAGAGGTGTATTTGACACCTGTGTCAGTGTATGTGTGAATGAGAGGTGTATTTGAAACATGTGTCAGTGTATGTGTGAATGAGAGGTGTATTTAAACCTGTGTATGTGTGAATGAGAGGTGTATTTGACACCTGTGTCAGTGTATGTGTGAATGAGAGGTGTATTTGACACCTGTGTCAGTGTATGTGTGAAAGAGAGGTGTATTTGACACCTGTGTCAGTGTATGTGTGAATGAGAGGTGTATTTGAAACCTGTGTCATTGTATGTGTGAATGAGAGGTGTATTTAAACCTATGTCAGTGTATGTGAGAATGAGAGGTGTATTTAAAACCTGAGTCAGAGTGCGTGAATGAGAGGTGTATTTGAAACCTCTGTGTGAATGAGAGGTGTATTTAAAACCTCTACAAAAACATCCTGTGTGCCTCTGCCCTGGCTTATCCCTTCATCCCACATATTTCTCTCCCCTTTTCTCTCCTAGCCTGCTTACCTGCACCAGTTTGATTTTTTTTTCCTTCCACCAGCTTTCTCAAGCAGCACCTGGGGGCTGGGAGAGATCTGCTGTGCCAGGCTCCAGTTCTCACTATCCTTCCGTGCCGTGAGAGCTCCATGCGAGAGGAGCGGAGAGCAGGGGTATGATGTCACTTCCTGCACCCTCCCATCCTCCCATGGAGCACTCTGTACTGATCGCAGGCATAGAGATGAGACCTGGCAGTAAGAGCAGGTATGCTGCCAGCTCTCACAATTAACGGGGAATTTATTTGCAAGGATGTGTGTTGCAGGGGCCCTCCTATGTCATCATGTGCCCCTGCAGCCTTCCTTTTGACTATGGAGATGTCTGATCTCCACTTCAGAATCATGTGTGCAGCAGGGCCCCTGACTCACTCAGGCCCTCGGTCCATGACCGATCTGCCCGAGTGGTCAGTCCGCCCCTGCTCAGGAAGACAGTCACACACTCACAGGCAGACAGTCACACACACAGTCACAGGCAGACAGTCACACACACACAGTCACAGGCAGTCGTCTGTCTCTGTCTCTCTGTCTGTCTCTTTCTCTCTCTCGTCCCTGCAGTCTGTTAGTTTAGGAAGCAGGGACTCCTTCCTACTTCCCCTTGATGTGCAGCAGTGACAGCAGCGGGTGGAGGCAGTGTTTAGCTCCACCCCTGCTGCCAATTTGGCCCCGCCCCATTTTTCTTAGATGCGGACAGTTGCACAGCTCACACATCCTAAGGCCACACTGGTCATGGCACCCCCCTAGTGAGTGACACCCGGGCAGACTGCACACCCTGCAACCCCCTTAGTACGCCACTGAATACAGGGCTTGCATATTAAATTTTCTGGTCTTCCTGTATGATATATATCATTCTAAGTGTTTTTTGATAACATATACATACAGGGCTGATCCTAGGGTCACAGGCGCCTGGGTGCAGATTTTTTTGGGGCGCCCCCAGGTGGGCGTGGTCATCGTTCTAAACCTTTGCAACGACTCTACCTCTCCATCTAGAGACACACTCACTGACAGTCACACACTCTCACTCAGAGAAACACACTCAATGATTTGTCAGACACTGACAGAAACATACTCAGACAGAAACATTGACACACACTCTCAATGACAGATGCACAATCTCACTGATTTGAAATACTCCCTGACAGACACAAATGCTGACAGACACAGTGGTACACAAAACAAGGAAGTCCAGCACTCAGCGTTTTCGATTACAACATATATAATCACACAATTACACACACACTGGCCCATGCATACCTAGACCGTCACACACAATACACACACATTCACACTGTCATATGGAAACTGAATCTCTCTCTCTCACACACACACAAACACACATACTCCTCCTTGCTGTCATGAACACTAGTAGGAGGAAAGGAGGCCAGGGTCCCTAGTGCCCCTGTTGGGGAGGCAGGTATTCCTTTGTGCAGCAGCGGCTCTAGACTTAGTGATGCGATATTAAACAATAAATCTCATACATACATAGACATGTGCACATACATACACAGACACACACTGTCACATACAGAGGCACATACCAATATACACAGTCACATACATACATACCGGGTTATTTACAAAAATGAGAATTGTCAGGAATTCATAGTGCATTTCAAAGTGG